CTCCAGTAAAAATTAATTTAAAAAAAAGTTGACAAGATTTACTTTACCAAACAGTAAAAGATTTTATAAAGCTAGAGTAATTAAGACAGGTCTAGCTAGAGTAATTACTCTAACTAGAGTAATTAAGACATGTACTGCCTCAAGGATAGAGAAATAGGGAGTCCGGATTAGATTCACATATATGATTTACAACACAAGTAACACTGGAGAGCAGCAGAGAAAGGGTGGTTTTTTCAATAAACAGTGCTGAAAACTGAAAAAAAGAAATCTTGATATTCCACGCAAAAATAAACACCACATAAACTGTGTATCTAGAAATTTAAAAATACTTTTAAAAAGCCTTCTAGAAGATATTATATTCATGATGCTGCTGTAAGGAAGATTTGTTAAACTGGGCAAAGAAAGCACTAACCATAAAGGAAATGGCTAAATATTGGTCTATATTAAGTTCAAAAGACACTTTTAAGAGACTGAAAAGGCAAGTCACAGAGTACGAGAAAAATATTTGTAACATTTAAAACCAACAAAGAACTACCGAACAAACAAAAACTTGACAACAGAAAAAGAGGTTTGAATAGGCAATTCACAAAACTGATCATCCAAATGATTATTAACATGAAAGTGTCCAACTTCATAAATAACCAAGGAAAGGCAAATTAAAACAATAATGAGATATTAATAATACCTACCCACCAGCATGGCTAAAATTAAACTTATAAGGCCAAGTGTGGGCAAGGATGAGGAGAAAATGTAACCCTCACAGCGCTAATATAAGTGTAAATTGGTACAATCACTTTGGAAAACTTTTTGGAATTATCTACTGAAGATAAATGTAAGCTTAAACTATGACCCAATAATTCTATGACCAAACAGTTCCATTCCTAGGTATGGGCCCAACAGCAATATGTGCCCATTGCACTAACAGACACTTACAATATGTTCATAGTTGCATTAACATAGAAACAACCTAAACAGGCTCCCAAAGTTAAATGGATAAATAAATGGTGGTATATTCTTACAAAGGAATATGTCAAAAACAATAAAACTACTGTTATACGCACATAAATTTCAAAAACTGTGTTAAGTAAAAGAAGGTATAAACAAAAGAACTTTATAATTCCATTTGTGTAGAGCTGGCAAAAACCAAATGATTACATTAGAAGGCAGGACAGTGGTTACCCCTGGAGAAGAGAAGACAGCTATGTTGGGAAGTGGCACAAGGTGGGGTCTTCCCGGGCACTGGCAGTTTTCAAGTTCTTGGTCTGGGTGCAAATTATAGAGATGCTGGCTTTGTTATAATTCCTTGAGCTGTACATTTACTTTTTTCACTTTTCTGAATGTATATTATACTTAAAAAGTTGCATATGGAAAAGAAAACATTATCAAATCAAAGATGTATTTTACAACTGACAATATTTTATGACAGGAGTACTATGTAGACATTTTTAAAATTATGTGTAAATATAGAGAAGTTACCAGTTGTTTTGTTTTAGTCCACTTTTAATCTTTGGTTAAGAAATCCTTTTTTACTCTTGTATCATAAAGATGATTGTCCATATTTTCATCTAAATTTTAGATTAATAGCTAGTTCTTTCTCAGTACAGAAATACACGAAGTATCACTTCATTATCTTGTGGTATCTATTTTCATCAAGGAGAAGTGTACTTTTAGGGCATTATATTATGTAATCATTGGAAGAAAAAGGATTTGTGCATATAGTCCCTGAGGTAGATCGAACAAAACGTTATTATCATTTTTTTTTTTTGGCTGTGCCGCGTGGCTTGTGGGATCTTAGTTCCCTGACCAGGGATTGAACCCAGGGCCACAGCAGTGAAAGTGCTCAGTCCTAACCACTGGACCACCACGGAATTCCCTGAACAAGTTATTATTATGTCCATTACATACAGGCAAAAAAGCTGAGGCCCCGCGAGCCACAGCTACTGAGCACAGGTGCTACAACTACTGAAGCCCGCATGCCTAGAGCCTGTGCTCCGCAACAAGAGAAGCCACCGCAATGAGAAGCCCGCGCGCCGCAATGAAGGGCAGCCCCCGCTCGCCGCAACCAGAGAAAGCCCATGCGCAGCAACGAAGACCCAACACAGCCAAAAATGCATAAATAAATTTATAAAATAAATAAAAACCCTCAAAACTCATAGATGCTTTTAAAATAGCACTTCAAAACATTCACCCCCACATAAAAAACAAAAAACCCAAACAAAGCAAACACAACCATATAACAATGCAACATGTTTCTCACCAAACAGTGAGACACAGACATCACTGTTTCTGTTGTCAAAGATACCAGATACACCACCCCATTACATTAAAATGAATGCTTCTCAGTGGATAGGATTTACCGACGATAAATAGCACGTAAGGCAATGACTACTTATGACTTTAAAGAATACAGCAGTCCCCCCTTATCCACAGGTGATACGTTCCAAGACCCCCCCCAAGTAGAAACTTGACATATACTGCCTGAAACTATAGTACCGAACTTGACATATACTGTTTTTTCCTGCACATACATACCTACAATAAAGTTTAATGTATAAATTAGGCACAGTAAGAAATAAACAACAATAACTAATAATAAAATAGAACAATTTTAACCATACTACAACAAAAGTTTTCTGAATGTGGTGTCTCTCTCCCTCACTCTCTCTCAAAATATCTTAACACAGTTAACACCTTTTCCATTTTAACAAAGTACTTATCTGCACCGTGGCCATAACTTTTGCAGTTTGAGGTTTGTTTTGCAGTTTGACAGCAAAACAAGCACGAATTTCTTTTTCCTTCACAATTTCATGGATAGAAGATTCGTTCTGACCACAGATCTTAGCAACCTCAGCATACAACTTTTTTTCTTTCCTTATTAAGTTGAGAACTTTTACCTTTTCACTTAAAGGAAGCAGTTTGCAGTTTCTCTTCAGCATATCTAAATTGCAGCACTTTGGGACTGTTATTAAGTAAAAAGGGTTACTTGAACATAAGCACTGATAACTGAGATGCCACTAAGTGACTAATGGGTGGGATAAGCTGGACAAAGGGATGATTCACGTCCCAGGTACTACACAGAATGGTGTGAGATTTAAAACATATAAATTGCTTATTTCTGGAATCTTCCATTTAATATTTCAGACCATGGTTGACTGGCTGAAGGTAACTGAAACCAGAGAGTGAAACTGCAATTAAGGCGAGACTACTATAGTTTCGATGAAGTAAGCCATGTAGATATAGATGATGGTAGTTTTATCTGTTAAACTGTACATTTAAAAAAAAACCTTAAATGTTTTAGTCAGGAATGTCTTTTCTGTCAGTACTTTAAAGAGGATTTCAATGATAAGTTTTTGTTTGGGGCTTTCCTAAAATGGATGTGGTTGGCGATTGCTTTCAAGTAGTTTACACGAGGACTGTTGGTATGTGTCATGGCAACAGGTCTTTTGGAGGAACATTGAAATTGTGGTTATTGGCTGAAAACTACTACAATAAACTTCTGGCAGTGTGTATGAAGGGGGACGAAGAGGCTAGGGCCACCAAGTAGTACATTAGCCACTTCCTTTTTGGGTTATGTAAAGAGAGTGAATCAATGATCTTATTAACACTCTCACAAAATAAGAAGACAAAATACTGATTAACCAAAATATGGAAAAGGTTTTCAAGTGAGTAAACTTTTTTTGATTAAGCAAGAAAAGCACACTTATAACACTTATGGCACACCAGGAATTATGCTAAGCACTATAAGAACGTAAACTTTCATCAGACTCTGACCTTACACTACTTATTGTCTACGGGGAAGATAGGATAGGCTTAAAAAACAACAATTAGGGCTTCCCTGGTGGCGCGGTGGTTGAGAGTCTGCCTGCCGATGCAGGGGACGGGGGTTCGTGCCCCGGTCTGGGGGGATCCCGCGTGCCGCAGATCGGCTGGGCCCGTGAGCTGTGACCGCTGGGCCTGCACGTCCAGAGCCTGTGCTCCGCGGTGGGGGAGGCTGCAGCGGTGGGAGGCCCGTGTACCGCAAAAAAAGAAAAAAAAAACCCAACAATTAAGTAGAAAGCAACAAATCATAAAAGGGGTAAAAAAAAAAAAAAAAAGAGCGCATTGAGAGCTCAAAGGAAGGAAATTACGTCATGGAGGGGCAGCTTGAGATAGCTGGCATGAGAGGTACGGGATGAATAGAGAAGCATAGGATTAGGCATTCAAATGAAACAGAACAGTATCAACAATGATTAGCAAGTAATCCTTCATGTGAAGTATGTTAACTGTACATGAACACAGCCAACACAAATTAAGAACCTGCCTAACTACCCCCCCAAAAAAAAACAAAAACAGAAACAAAGTAAAAAACTATTTCATCAAGGTAATATTTGAGGTTTAAAAAACAATGTCATTATAATTTTAAGAAAATTTCAAAATATATATTTTAGGGCTTCCCTGGCAGCGCAGTGGTTGGGAGTCTGCCTGCCGATGCAGGGGACGCGGGTTCATGCCCCAGCCGGGGAAGATCCCACATGCCGCGGAGCAGCTGGGCCCGTGAGCCATGGCCGCTGGGCCTGCGCGTCCGGAGCCTGTGCTCCGCAACGGGAGAGGCCACAACAGTGAGAGGCCCGCGTACCGCAAAAAAAAAAAAAAAAAAAAAAATATATATATATATATATATTTATTTATTTTAAAGCCAATTAAATAGTACTTTTAAAAAACGCTTGTTACAAAACATGTCTACATTTTTAGTTACACTCCTAAATAAGTATTTTAAAAATACAATGATTACATTGGCATTCATGTACAATAAGGGAATAAGAGAGAAATTAAAACATTTGATAATCACTACTCCCACCCTGCCATTTAACTCTTGAGTAGGAATGGTGTTTTAATAGAAATATTAATATATCAGAAAACTGAAAATTAAAAGTACAGAATGGAAGTATCTATGAATGAATTGAACTGTATATATTTACAAGGGAATTAAAAAGGAGAGCAAAGCCTCTTGCATAACTTACCAACATAAAATGAGCAGTTGGAATGCAATAAACTTTCAGTCCATAAGCGACAAAGTTCACTTTCAGTCAGAGCTTCAACTCCATAACAAGCTTGATACTCCACTTTTGGTAGTACGTAAACTGGAAATTGCTGCAATCCAAGGTTATACTCTTATAAAGCTCCATTAATTTACTATTAACAGTAAATACATTTGCCTATATAATTTTGCCACTTTCAAAACACTTTCAGGTAATCTTATTTCATCCTTTCAAATACAGTAGGATTCAGACAGAAAGATGGATAGAACCCTTAGTAGATGTGGGCAAATGGTGGATAAATAAGAGATCGTGAACCAGAGGCTGCCCCCACCCCACAACCAAAATCAACATACCTCTCCACACATGCACATATTTTATTTCTGTCACAGAACGTGACTGACAGAATCCTTGGAACAAAGCCTCGGATACATAATGGCCCAAGGTTCAAAGCTAGAAGCTGGAAAGCCATGACTGTAATACATACTAATAATTCTCAAGAGGGTAAAAAAAAAGTAGGAATTTTTTGCCCCTTTAAAGCATTAGTCACATTGTCTCAGGCTTAAATACTGTGCTTTCATTCTATGAATGTATGAGCACTAACACCTACATTAATATCTGTGAATGTTGCTATCTTCATTAATACAAAAGGCTTTATTCCAGACACTAAGTACCTGGCAAATTAGCCATTTAGCGTTTATTGGTCAGGACACTAAATAGATTAAGCAAAATGACTATACCCTCTACTAGCCTTAAGGAGGATATGTAAGGAAATACATGCTTGTAAAACAACATAGTGCTAGTCATGTTCACTGTGCTCATATTATCTCATTTCAGTCAAAGAAAATTCTAATCTTAATAGCAGTCTCTTCACTTCCAGCTGCAGAAGGAGAAACACATGATTTAAGAAACTTTAAGTGATATAACTGGTTAGTACTTTTGAAATTATACTAAGCTGTGTTTCACTTTTATACCTGAAAATATTTCATAAATGTTTCAGAATTACTGATTTTCATAAAGTAGCAAATTTAGTGGGCTTATTAGCACAATGGTGGTAAGAACAATTAAAATCCAGTAAAATTTCTGTGAACAATTAACTTTGGTTCATTATTACCTTTGAATGTAGTAAAACTCTACAGCAGTGCTTCTTAAATTTCAGTGTGTGTGAATAACCATTTTAAAATAAATGCAGAATCTGAGGTGAAAAACAAGGCTTTACATGTTTAATAAGTTGTTGTTCCAGGGGCCAAACTTTGAGTAGTAAGGTCCCTACAGTGTCTTCTTAATTTAAAAAAAAAAAAAATTATGAATAGGGTAATTTCATTGCTAAAAGCACTTAATTGTATAATAATTTTTCAGCAACTGGTAATCTGCATTTATGGCTGCTTATAGTTGCCAGAAGAAGCCAGAGATAAAGAAATAAAGGCCCAGAGGGCTAAGATATTTGCTCAAGGAGAGATAACCAGTTTACAGCAGAGTCAGAAAAAGAATAATTGATAAAGAAGATCCCCTTTTGGATCATGAACAGGTAATAGAATTAATTCAAGATTTCTTTTCAAATTAAAAAATATTACTCTTTCTGAAGAAAGTACTCTGGGGGATTTTCTTTGATAATACTGTCATATCTGTAAAACTAAATCCTGAACCTGGTATTAATTTCCATATGTATTCTACTGCCATCTCCAGGAAACCAAGGGAAAGAAAAGTCTGAATATTTGATCTCAGTATTCCAAATTTAAAGTGAAACTTTAAGTACAAAGTTTTCAAATTATAAAAATTAAATTTACTATTTCCTTTATCCCTTATTGGTCACTCCTATTCTAAATGAAAGCTTCTTTTGGTTCTCTGTCTTCCAATTTCCTACATAAACCTTCCAAACGTTTACATACATTCCTAAATAAATATTTCAAAGCTAGTATCCTGTCAGTAATCCCAATAGGTACATTCTGTTCTTTCCTAATATTCAAGCACCTTCAGGATCCTTTTTTTCTGGCCCAAGAATGCCAATATAAACTTTAATATAACTGGATCTAAATTTTTGAGTCACTTTAGAATATAACTCTTAGGAAATTTGGTTAACAGAGACAGGCGATAACATAATATTAAATCATTCAAAGGTATGTGGTCTGGATGTCATAATTATATGTAGAACTCAGTAAGTTCTAGCTTCATCTTGTGTTCCAAATTAGCCCTCTTTATTTCATGCCATCATTTGAGACTGGCTGCTGCTTTAAGTTCTCCTCTGTCATGTAGCTCTTATTAAGCAGAATTTTGATGAGAAGGGATAAATGATATTGGAAAGTAAAATCTCAGCTACAACAACACAGAATTGAAGAACCAAAGGAAAAAAAGAAGAGATGAGGTTCTTGCAGAGCAGAGGTTGAAGAGACTTCCGAGTATTTTAAAGCTTTACCTAAACAAGTTGGTTTTTAAGAAGGAAATGTTAATGAAGGTGCATTCTTACCTAACTAGAGTTTAAACATTACCTTCAAAATTTCTCAGCTAGTGCCTCAACTTCCCTTCCTTAACAACACCCTCCTCTCTCCTCACGCCTCAGTTTTTCTCATTTATTCAATACCTATTTATTGAGTATCTACGGAATAAAACATTTGAAAGAAACAGAGATGAAGAGGAGATGATTCCAAAGGGAATAAATTCTACAAAGGAATTTAAACCACGTGTACTAAACGATTACATATAATGATAGGTATAATATGATAAGCATTCACTGAAAATTTTAAAATTTTACTCCAGGTTTGACATGTCAGAAATAGAAGGCTCCTATTTAGCTAATCTTTGGGGCTTGACTTTTTTGATATATTTTGATGAAGAGTGAATTCTCTCCTGTAAGGTTTTATCTTAATATTTACAAATTTCACTTTAGTCAAGTGAATGACAATGTCCTTAACAGGTTGTCTCTTTCAACAATTAAACCAGTGTCCAAAAATATCCCTAGGCTATTCTTACTTAAGGCATCCTGGCCATCAATAATTTCTAAGTGCTGTAAGCTGGCAGATCAATACAGAGTGGTATGGGCTCACAGAGTAGAAAATGAAAGAAATGAGGTTAGTCCCCAAATAAAGCAGATAGCAAATATGAATTAATGAAATAAAACCTTGAAAATACAGTCCATAGCACTGACACTATATGTAGTCAAGATACGCATGCTATGGCCATTAAATACAGATGAGACAGGAAAAAATCAGCAAATAAAGTAAAATCTTTTAATACAGGGACTATTTGTATTTATCTAGGAGGAGACTAAAATCAGACCTATAGCATTTCATAATTCCTGACATTCTCTTATAAAAAACACTCCCCCATATATTTAATTCAAAACCAGTTGGTTTCTATAATTTCAAGTCTGAACCAGTGATGAAATACCAAATTACGAGAATTAGAAATTTAAAATTTTATTCACAGTCTTCCTTCTAAGAACAAAAGTATCATCAAGCAAAAGATCCACTAGGTCCATTGGATTTTGGTGGACAGCGTATACATCCTTGATCCTGATGGGTTAGCCTTAGAGGTTTTTCATGATAGACCCTCACACTATTGCTATTAGCAGCTCAGAAAGGTTGGCACTTCTTCTTCTTCTTTTAAAAATTTTTTTCCATTTATACCTTAATATGGTAAAGTAGTAGTCAGGGACTTGATCCATAAGGGTCAATGCTGGAACATCACTGTTCCTCAGTCACCTGTTCCCTAATCCAAAATACTGACATTCTAAAGTGGTCACTGAGGATTCTTGTTGGGTGGTAGGTTAAATAGCAAGAAACAGAGACATCAAAAAAGGAAGGAACGGGGCTTCCCTGGTGGCGCAGTGGTTGAGAGTCCGCCTGCCGATGCAGGAGACACGGGTTCGTGCCCCGGTCCGGGAAGATCCCACATGCCGCGGAGCAGCTGGGCCCGTGAGCCATGGCCGCTGAGCCTGCGCGTCCGGAGCCTGTGCTCTGCAACGGGAGAGGCCACAACAGTGACAGGCCCGCGTACCGGGAAAAAAAATTTAAAAAAAGGAAGGAACGTACTTCCCTGGTGGTCCAGTGGTTAAGACTCCACACTTCCAATACAGGGGTCGTGGGTTCGATCCCTGGTCAGGGAGCTAAGAACCCACATGCCACACGGTGTGGCCAATAAATAAATAAATTCAATTATTTTAAATTAAAAAAAAAAAGGAAGAAAAGGAGGGAGGGAGGAAGAAAGGAGGGAAGGAAGAAAGGAAAGAGGGAGGAAGGAAGGAAAAGTGAACTATGATGTAATGGATACAACTGAAAAAATCTCTTAAGAAAAAATTAGAGACTTCACTATTTCTTACGTAATCAATTATACCATAAAAGCTCCTCTTTACCTGAATTCAGTGGTTACACACACAAAAATCAAATTAATCTGAAAGAGACCTTAAAATATCAAATATAGCAATCTGCCGAAAGAACAAATTACTCAAATTGTAGCAAAAACTTTTTTAACTGAGGGAAATATTTATATCAAATCCCAAAAGAAACAATAGGGGAAAAAGAAAGGAAGACATTTGGTTTTCTAACAGTCCTGGGAAGACATTTCAAATGTGTATGAAAGCCTACTTCTCAAAATGTGAACTTCTAAAATGACTCAAAAAGATTCCCAAAGTAAGAAATAAAGAGGCTAATATGTCATAAAGGAAATCCAAATTCACAGAGAAAGCTGGAACGTACGTGCCAGTCTAGGTCATATCTTTGGTGCCGATCTCTACAATGGTGCCGTTTTTCACAAAGTTTATATATTCCATGCAAGAATGTTATTGGCACTCATGACTATTACATTGAACTAAACACTTTATTAAAAGTGTTTTCAGTATTTTACTAAAAAAACTCAACCTGAAAAAACTACTCTAAGAGTGATCAACAATTTAAAATTAAACTTCATAAGAATGGCATGTTAAATATTTGCTTATCGTCTACTTATGCTACCACACCCTAACTCCCCAGGTAACAACTTACTCTTCTGATTTTCTTCCGTTTTTTAGAACGTGGTCTGGTCTCTATCCTCTGGACACTGCATCGCACAAGTAACAACAGGTCTTGTAGGCTAAATAGCTTGTAAACAAAATTTCCTTCCTGAGGAGCTACATATTCTGATGTATCTTCAACATAGTCCTGAAGTTCATATGGCAATCCTTTAAAAATAATTATATTTGTCATTTTTATTTTAAAATACATTAGCTCTTTATCCATCATAATCCAAGATAAAACAATTCAACTATCAATCTTCTGTTTCCTCTGAGTTGACCATTACACTATTACCATTTCTGTCTACTTTTACTGGAACTCCAGCAAGAGCTGAAATCAAAGCTTTAGGGTTCTCTTCCTTTTACCTACTACCTTCACTAACCCTAGGCAAAGTATAAATCTGTAAGACAACATATGAAGAAAAAAAAAAAGTTTAAAAAAGTAGTGTTATTCATAATCGAGGCAGAGTTGAGGTGCAGCCTTACATCTATTTCACAAAATGAAAAAGTACAAAACTACAGTCTAAACACTAAGAATAAGTAAATTTAGACTAATAAGTATTTATCATTATTTTTGCTGGATTTTCCCTTCATCAGTTCAGCAAACCACATTATCTATAGCTTAGCAGCCATCGTAAATGTTGGATAAACACAGGTTACAAAAATCCATACAACTGTGGGTACATCGCTAGAGTGAAGGTTTTGAAAGCTGAAATACTGATCAGTAGACTGGAAAATGAACTCTCAATGACTATATAAAGATCATACACATATTATAACAAAGAGAAAGTAGGGGGAAGGGGGGGAAAACCTAAGGATAAGGAACAAGCAAAACAGTTAATATAAAATTCTTTGTAAATATTTACGTACGTCCTTTTGGCTTCTGAAACACAGAAGGCCATATAGATTTTGGCCAACTAGAGGCATCTGAAGTAGCAGAGGGTTGCTCAGAACTAGGAGGTTGTTTAGAATTTTCTGAATTCATCAGCGGCATTTCAGGTATTTTTCTGGAAATTGGTTTTAAGAGTTCATCCTGCATTTTTAAAATTTCTCCAACTGGATCAAATTTTTTATACACTCGTTTGATAGGTTTTTTTAAAACACATGACTCTTCAGGACTACAAGTAGTATTAGTCTGGTTTCCTACAGAAGCCTGTCCTGAGGAAGAATTTAGGCTAGCTGGTTTAGAACTTAAATTAGAACCCATATCAGCAGTCTTTACATTACTATTATTTTGACACTCTGTATCAATGATTAAACAGTCTTCATCTGTATCACTATGGCAAAGAATTACATCTTCAGTTTTAGCTGCTTCTGATGTAACAGGCTTTTCCTTTGAATTATTGTCTGTGTTCTCTGGAACATTCACTCTTTCATCAACACACTCCATATCAGAAGCCATATCATTTTTATTAGAGGTTTCAATTTCTGAAGAACTTTCTAAGTGTAAGGCATCAGATGTTTTCAAGTCACTATCTTGTACCAAAGACTTCTCAGAATTTGATACATTTTCACCACAGGGGATCAATCCCTGATCATCTTTGTTTTTGCACTCTTCAGGGCCATTGTCCATACCAGTCACCAGCTGTTTCTCCTTCTGCAGCTGTTCCATCAGAATCTGAGATATACTTCTAGAATGAGCAGTAATGTCTGGTGCAATTGGTGCCTCAGATGTGATTGCTATGCTGGGGGCTGGGGGCATATCTGTCACGTTGGGTACTATGGAAGTACTTGCTGGACTCGGTGACTTTGATGGTTTGGTGGTGGTTACTCCAAAAGTTTCAAGTTCTGTGACGTCATCATCAAAATCCAGATCCAAGTTTTCATGGGTCTCAATTTTTCGGCACTCATTAACTTCATAAGACATCTTAAGAAAATATATTGGCAAACTATTAGCAAAAATTCCAGGCCGCCCCTCACCCATCAATGTCCCATCACAACATAGTTCATACTCTTTAAAAGTAGAAAGAAAAGTCTAATGGCTTTGAAAGGTTCTTGCTTTGACAAACTACTAGCACCTAATTTATTTAACCTTACCTTCCCATTGAAATGTTGATGAAACACAGAAAAATTTGCCAAGTTGCAATACCACAGGAAATGGGGAATACTTGTGAACTACCACATCTCAAGAGGTATTTCCACTAATCAAAAACAGACAGGGGCTTCCCTGGTGGCGCAGTGGGTGAGAGTCCGCCTGTCGATGCAGGGGACACGGGTTCGTGCCCCAGTCCGGGAAGATTCCACATGCCGCGGAGCGGCTGGGCCCATGAGCCATGGCCGCTAGGCCTGCGCGTCCGGAGCCTGTGCTCCGCAACGGGAGAGGCCACAATAGTGAGAGGCCCGCGTACCGCAAAAAAAAAACCAGACAGGACCACAAAGAAGAAATGCTAGGCCAAACAGGAAGGCAAAAGATCTTCATTCATACCCACTTTATACACTCTTGCAGAGACTTAGCTGACCAGGAGGAAAGCGTCTTCGCCATGGTAAGGAAGCTGCTCTCTAATGCAACTGGGGAAGTGTCAACAGCCTCTCACATCAATCAGTGACTTTCTTTATACATCTACTCAGGGAAAACAACTCTCAGTAATAAGAGGAGAAATGGATAGGAAGTGGTTTTATTGTATTCTGGGACATGAAGCCACTGAGGTTATAGTTTTTCATGTACTGTTTGGGTAACAGAAGAACTACAGACAGTTCTAATTTATTCAGGAATAAATTATCTTCTCCCTAGGTAGCAACATCTCTCCTCAGTCTGGCAGAGCACTTTAGATAAATACCATGGAATTGGATTACAGTTTAGGATTTGAGAGAAAAATATTCTGACAGCCTCAGGTAGTGAGTAAGAAAGGTCTACCTGGGTAAATTACTTTACCTCTCTGAAACTCAATTTCCTCATCTCTGAAACAGGGATAATAGGGTTATCCTCTTGGGTTTATTCTAAGGATTAAATGAGAAATTATATATAGAAAGTTTCTTCGCATAGTCCTTGTACATAGTAAGCAGTTTCTCAGCAAATGGTAGCACTTGCTAAAATAAAAAGACTACCATATTTAGTCAAAAAATAAAATTAAACTATACTCTGTTTACATGAGGCATTCTTACACAAAAAGGTTCAAAACAAAACAATGGGACATGACACCAAGAAATAAAGAAAGAAGGACTAGCAATATTAAGTGTTAGAGAGAAGTCAATGCAAAAAGCATTAGATAGAAAAAGGAATCCTATGTTGAAAAAGATGCAATCCATGATGAATAGATAATGAACTGTGACATGTCAAATAACAACATCAAAATTGTCAAAACTGAAAAATAAAAGGAAAATTTGACAGAAACACAACTGTACTTGGTCACTGATACACTGTCTCTTAGTAAATATAAGGATGTAGAAAGTATGAATAATATTTAATGACTGAAACAAAGATACATGAATGACTGAAAACATACATATAGACTGCAAAGATATACCTTTTCCCTCCCAAGGATCGAAGGGGCATTTCCAAAGGTGGACTATAAATTAATACACAAAGAAAACATCAATATAGTATAAAGCAGAATCTGTTAAGGTCTGACTCTCTGTTTAGAAGAAAATAAAATTAGAAATCATTAAGAAAAAAGTAAACAGACAATAATAAACCCAAGAACTTGGAAATTTTAAAACTCTCCAAATTATTGGATAAAAGAAGAAATTAAAATGATAATTACAGAACACTTAAAAAGCAATAAAAATGAGAACACTGGACATTAAAAATCTGAAGCATCATTCATAGCCTTTTCAAAAAACAGGAAAAGAATAATATAATCACAATAATAAAATGAAGGAATTTCATAAATATAAAACCAAAATTAATGAATTGAAAAACAATGTTCTCAACCCCTGACAAATTTGGATAAAAACAGCAGTTTATCTGTAAATATTTTAGTATGTGGTTATAAAAAGATTCTTCGGTAAAACACATTAATTGTATCAATAAACTAACACTTCCTTAATGGCTGGAAATATCTAATCACTGTTAAAATTTCCTAGTCTGATCAATTTCTTTTTACAATTGTTTATTGGAATCAGGATCCAACCAAGATCCCTACACTGCATTTGGGTGATGTCTCTCAAATTTATTTCTCAAATGCCTCTCCCCCATACTCTGCCAACTCCCATATACACCAGGTATTTGTAGAAGAAACTAGATGAGTTATCCTATAAAATTTTCCATATTCTGGATTTTGCATCCCCATGATATCATTTAACACACTCTTCCCCTACATTTCCTATTAAAATGATCTAGTAGCTTGATCAGATTCAGGCACATTTAAAAAAATCTGAACATGTTATATGTGGTACTGTGTACTTCCCACTTCAATCAGGAGGCTAGTGTCGTCTGCTTATCTTTCTTCTTGTGATATTACAACAGTTCTGTTGATTCATCAAGGGTCAACAAACTAATCCATCCATTAAAATTCCTTGTTAATCTTCTAATGCTTTTAGCAGTCATTGATGATGATCACTGCCTAGATTCACTATTTCATTAGGAACTGCAAAATGGTAACAGTCGTATTTCATCATTACCTGAAATACAGTTTGTACTGGAAAAGTAAGACAAATACTTGAATTTTCAAAAATCAGTTTTCAGAATAATGACTTGATACACTAGCACCCTCCAAAGGTGACTAATACTTTTTTTAAAAGATATTATTATGAATTCATGGATTTTTAACTATTTCATATGTTTCCATCCATTGCAGTTATTCTTTGTCATGGTCAAACTGACACACTCTGGCCAATGGGAAACCCTTCAAATTGGCACTGGCATCTTTTTTATATAATTCCAATATTATTATAAGGTTTTTACTTAAGTCCTTTGATTGGCATTTGTATTTCTTATGCTAAAATTCTTGGTTTCTAATATAAATATAAGTACTTATTTGCTTTGTCATACTATCTAATGTGTCCAAAATAACAACAGCAATATCATTACTAATAATATGATTACTAAATGTAGTTTAAGATATTTGGCAATTCTTTTTGAACTTAGGATATAAATCTTTAAGGATGTATAGACACTTAATTCTCTGAGTGACCATTTTCACTTAAACAGTATATCTTGGATATCACACTACAGTTGCATACCTAGAGCTTTCTTATTCTTTTTATAGGCATACCTTGGAGACATTGTGTGTTTGGTTCCAAACCACGACAATAAAGCAAATAGTACAAAAAAGTGAGTCACACAAATTTTTTTGGTTTCCCAGTACATATAAAGATATGTTTACACTATAGTCTATTAAGTGTGCAATAGCATTATGTCTTTAAAAATGTACATGTCTTAAGAAAAATACTTTACTGCTAAAAAGCACTAACCATCATCTGAGCCTTCAGCAAGTTGTAATAGTAACATCAAAAAATCAATGATTGGGCTTCCCTGGTGGCGCAGTGGTTGAGAGTCCGCCTGCCAATGCAGGGGACATGGGTTCGTGCCCTGGTCTGGGAGGATCCCGCATGCCGCAGAGCGGCTGGGCCCGTGAGCCACGGCCACTGAGCCTGCGCGTCCGGAGCCTGTGCTCCGCAAAGGGAGAGGTCACAACAGTGAGAGGCCCGCGTACCGCAAAAAAAAAAAATCAATGATCACAGATCACCATTAACAAATATGACTAAGTCTGAAATACTGCAAGAATTACCAAAATGTGACACAGTGACATGAAGTGAGCAAATGCTGTTGGAAAAAGGACGATGATGGACTTGCTTGATGCAGGGTTACCATAAGCCTTCCATTTGTAAAAAACGCAGCATCTTTGAAGTGCAATAAAGCAATGTACGATAAAACAACGTATGCCTGTAATAGTTGCATAGTATGCTATTGAAGATGTACAGTTTATTTAATAAACACCCTATTAAGGGACATGACGACTGTTTCTAATGAATACCTATAGTTGCGGTGAATACCCTGCACAAATATTTTATTCTTTTCCTAGTGTACTTCTGAGCTACATTTCTAGAAGTGAGATTTCTAGGGCGAAGGATGAACACATTAGTTTTCATCTGTTCTGTGGGCACATCTCTCTTCATTTGACTGTAAAAATGTTATAGCAATTATCTTTTCTTCCTCTAATAACTTTGTAAGAATTTCCATCAACAAGCCTCTTCTGTTTCTCGTGTTTAATTGAGATGGGCACACCTGCTTCTGCAGGAGGACAATCCTGTGTGAGAGTGTGCCAGGGTAGCTTTCTTAGCTTCATGGTTCTAAGCTCATGCTTCACTGTTACCATGATGTATGTAGGTTTGCATGTGTTTGTGTGTTCATATAAAATCTTTAGTACATTCTGATATCTGCTTTCTCTATTTCCCTCTCCCACAATTATCTGAAAACTTATTTTTCCTTTACCTTTAATGTCCTTGTTCTGCTCAGTATGAACTTTACCACTGGTGAATTTTCCTGAGCCAAGGCTTTTGTCTTGGAAGGAACTTTGGCTGGTTAGTTTCTAGAGTTCTTAGGACCCAGGTCATCTCAGAACTATTTAAGTTCCCAAGTGCCCCTGCACTCACCTACAAATTAGAGCCCATCCACATTATTTTCACTTTTGTTATTCTTTATTCATTCTTGCATCTTGCACCATCCTTTTGCCATCTGGGATTATTCTCCTTGTGCCTGAAGAACATCCATTAGAGGATGTCTGCTAGTAGCAAACTCAGCTTTTATCTGAAAATATCTTTTCTTAATTTTTTATTACTTAAGGATATTTCACTGGTTAGAGAATTTTAGTAAGAGGGTTATTTTCCCTCAGGAGAATATATTGTCCCAATGTCTTCTGGCTTCCATCGTTGTTGTTGAGAAGTCACCTGCCAGTCTAACTCTCAGTCCTTTATAGCTAATGTGCCTTTTGTTTCTCTGGTGGCTTTTAAGAGTTTTTTCTTTGTCTCCAAGTATGGTTTGGTCCCATTACCTCTTGTACACCTCTCTTTTGGGTGCAAGTACACAAATGTTAGACATTCTCACTACATTCTCTATACCTCTTGCCCTACTCTCCATATTTTCTTTTTGTTGCCTGTTTCATTATAGTCATTTCAGACCCATCTTCCAGTTTATTAATTCTCTTATCAGTTTTATCTAATGTGCTAATAACCCCCTTTACAGAATTCTTAACTGTACTTTTTTTTAAAAAATAAATAAATATTTATTTATTTATTTGGCTGCATTGGGTCTTCGTTGTAGCACACGGGCTTCTCTCTAGTTGCGGCGTGTGGCCTTCTCTCTAGTTGTAGCATGCGGGTTTTCTCCCTCTAGCTGTAGCGTGCAGGATCCAGGGCGTGTGGGCTCTGTAGTTGTGATGCACGGGCTCCAAGCATGTGAGCTCTAGTTTGCAGCATGCGGGCTCTCTGGTTGAGGCGCACGAGCTCAGTAGTTGTGGCTCACGGCCTTAGTTGTCCCACGGCATGTGGGATCTTAGTTCCCCTACCACGGATCTAACCCGCGTCCCCTGCATTGCAAGGCATATTCCTTCCAATTAAAACATGGCTTTAATTTTCTTGCATGCTGTATAATTAAGCAGAGTTGGCTCACAGTTTGTGACTGATAATTCTAGGATCCATTTCTGTGAGTCTATTTCTTTGGTCATTGTTTGTGATGGTTGTTGCTCAGAGTATCCAGTACATGAAAAGAAACTTAATTTTTATTTACTCCTCCAGTGTCTAGTTATCTTTAAATGTTTTCCAGATGCTATATTTAAAAACTTGTTTGTAGAAATAATTTGAGGCTCAAAATGACATTCTGTTCCTCTAAGAAGTATTGTCACTTGCTTTTGCTAGGTATCTAGAGACACTAGCAATCCAAAAGCATCTGAATCCAAGTTCAAGGCCTGAAAACCCAGAATACAATCTACAAGAAAGCTGATTTATTTCTTGTTCACTCTTACTCCTGGGGTATAGCCCTGCAGGGTCCAAGCTCATGGTGGAAAACTGAACTCTGACTTTTGTCCTCCTAGTCCTGTGATGCTGCCAAAAGCACATTCTCTGTTGCCTCTTCAGAACTGGCAAATACCATTCAGGGCAAAAACTACCCTAAGTGACAGGCTTACCAACCTGGATTCTGCTCTTCTTTAGTATCTCAGTCCTCAGATAGTACCCCCTATCTTGTTAGGTCTTTGATGATTCTAAGAAATAAACTTATATAATATGTACAGCTTTTTTTAGTTGTCATCAGTAATGGAAGGCCCAAATTACTTGGTCTGCCATTACTGAAAGAAGTTACTCCGTCACTTTTCATCCCTCTTAACCTACTTCATGTTTCTTCATAGCACTTGTTACCTACTGACATTCACCTCACACCAATATAAATTTTAGATAGATTTAAAAATGTAAAACAAAACAAAAAACAAAAATACCTCCAAAAAACTTAAGTTGGAAGTGCTTTATGACATACACATCATAAAAATACTGAAAGGCAAATGGCAAACCAAAAAAAAATAAACAAATATGAAAGACAAAAGGCCAATATTCTTAAAATAGTATGAGCTCTTATATGTAAATAAGAAAAAATTTTTCTATTTTATTTTCTAATTTTGTTTGCTCTCTCACTTTATTCAAGTCCCTGTTCAAATTTCCTGTCCTTGGAAAAGCCTTCCTGATCATGAATCCCATTCCCATCTCTTTCCCCTTAACCTATTCCATTTTTCTGCATAGCATTTATCAATGTGTGCTTTTTTGATACTGTTTTAATTATCTGTGCCCTCTGAAACTAATGTAAGTTCTGAAAGAAAAGAGACTTCATTTTTATTTACTGCTGTATCCTCAGTGCATGGAACAGTATCTGCTCAATAAATATTTGTGGAATGGATGAATAAAGTTTTGTATAAACAGAATGCCTTGCTCTAATAATCATGGGAAAATATTTCAAAATACACAAAATAATAAAAGCTAGTATTTATGGAGTACCAAGCATTGTTCTAAATGCTTTAGGTGTATTAACTCATTTAATCCCCAAGAATTCTATGAGTTAGGTTATCATGATACCCATCTTACAGACAGAGCAAACTAGACACAAAGAGATTATGTAGTTTGCCTACGGTCACGCAGATAATAAGCATACACTAAAAAGGATTAACAATCCGGCAAATTCTTGTTGCCCCAGTCAAACTCATCTGTTCCTTTTCATACTTAAAAACTCTTGAATACAAATGAGACTAATTAAATAAAACCATCACCACTATGATCACCATTACTGACTGAATTTTTAGTACATACGCACTAAAGACTGTGCTCAGCATCTTACGTATAAATATCAAACTTAATCCTGACAGCAATTTTATGAAGTAGGTATTATCATCTTTCTTTTATAAAAGAAGAAAACTGAGGCTGAAGGAGGTTAAGTTAGTTGTCTAAAGTCAAGATCCACGTGGGGTTCAATTTTAAGTTTCAATCTAAAGTCTGTATTTTTAACTACCAGATTTAGAGACTTGCAATAAAATGTTATTCTTCAAAAGGATAAACAAGTACATTCTCTTAAGGAAAAGAAAAGAAAGCATTACATACTTCCATTTCAGATATATAATCTTCTGGTTTGTCCATAAATACTGCAGAGACTGGAACAGTTGTGTTTTTGGACATCATGCATTTTAAGGGAACTTCATGGAAGATTTGATTTCTCTCTCTCATTGTCATTTTCTTTTGGGGAAGTGGTGAATTAATATAAATTACTTTAACTGGTTTTGAACCTTAACACAGAAAAAGAATGGGAGTGATTAGTTACTAGTAGTCATATTAAAAAAAAAAACAAACCAGGATGTATAACAGAAGAATTACTAAACAAAGAGACACAGGATAGAAACTGGAAGCACATGTCCCATACGTGTGCCTTGAATGAAAAGATTTTTAAAGTCCCTTAGAGGTCTAAGGGCAAGAGACTCTTTTTTTTTTGCGGTACGCGGGCCTCTCACTGTTGTGGCCTCTCCCATTGCGGAGCACAGGCTCCGGACGTGCAGGCTCAGCGGCCATGGCTCACGGGCCTAGCCGCTCTGCGGCATGTGGGATCTTCCCGGACCGGAGCACGAACCTGTGTCCCCTGCATCGGCAGGCGGACTCTCAACCACTGCGCCACCAGGGAAGCCCCGAGACTCTTACTGGCAAGAAAAATATGTTCTTTTTCTAACAATTTAAAAAAAGATTTTCTGTTTTTTATTGTTATACTTTTACTGTCATTATTACTCGGTTCCTCTTGGGTTATACTTTCAAAAAGTGATAAAATGTTTACCACGGAGAATGTATTACATTTAACTCTAATTTGTAGTTTTGTTTTTAGACATAGTCCTTCATTTACTCCAATTATGTTATTACATACAAGAATATTAATTCTAAAAGATATGAGAAAATTATTAAATATGAACAAAAATAGAAGGGGAATAATATTTGGTACAGAATTTATGTGTAAACATTTTACTGTTAAGAGAGAGACTATCTTATAAGTATAGACTTATTTAAATCTGAATTCCAATAATAGGTAAGTAAATAAACCCTGGAAACTAACCCATTTGAGGCTGTCTAATAAAGTATCGCATTCCTTTTATTTCAGTGAAAGACAGAAGAACCTCACCATTTCATGTATCTTTGGCCACCCTAAACTATAATTTTTTCTCTACTTCTCACACACCCAGCATGCATACAGGTCCTGTAAATCTAATAACTCATTTATGAGTGTCAATTGTATACTTAGCACTATATATTAAAAAGTTCTTCTACTGCATGTAATTGTCAAATTTACATCCTCCTTAAATCAAAACTTAGCTTTCTGTATTTGACAAATGACCACTATAATCAGACAGCTGAAATAGAACTGTTTCAACTCCTCTTTTGAGAGTGTTACTTGACATGGCAAATCACAAACCTGTGGCAGGTATTACTTGAATACACACTGGAATTTCCCACTGTTCCTTGTAGCTTGGTCCATGATTATTTAATAAGGTAAATAATGCTTGACTAGTTAGAGCTATCTGAGGGTGATATCTTGCAACAAGCTTCTCTGCATTTGGGTCTTTACTAATGTCCTGAAAAACAACATGAAACTTGTTACTTGATTACACTTATTAGAAACGTCTTTGATTAAATAATGAAAAGAAGGGAGAAATTCAGGAAGGATACTTTAGACCAACCAGGTTACATGTACTTTATGAGGTACAGAAGATTGCTTAGGAAGATCCAAAACCGCTTTACTACTTACATAATGCATAGCTGCAGCTGTTTGTTCTGGTGTTTCAGTGGCAGGTATATCTTTTGACAGCTGCAACTTTGCAGGCATTGAGGGAAATACTGTTTTCACATATTTTACACTGCCCTAAATAAGAAAAAAAATGAATGTTTTATTGCAGAAATCTTGATGTATTTTTTCCCTGAAGTATCTTTTCATCATATGAAACTTATAACTTAAAATTCTTCATTGTACTAAATGCAAATATCAAGTTTAGAGTCGTCTTAAGACAAGACCTTAATGTTTTTACTTGACAACCACCATATAGTTGTTTTTTAAAGATTTTATTTATTTATTTATTTTTGGTTGCATTGGGTCTTAGCTAGGTCACGTGGGATCTTTCGTTGTGGTGCACAGGCTCTCTAGTTGTGGCGCGCGGGCTAAAGAGCGCGTGGGCTCTATAGTTGGGGTGCATGGGCCCTGTAGTTGCAGCACGTGGGCTTAGATGCCCTGCGGCATGTGGGATCTTAGTTCCCCGACCAGGGATCAAATCTGAGTCCCCTGCATTGGAAGGCGGATTCTTAACCATTGTACCACCAGGGAAGTCCCCCATATAGGTTTTTTCTAAAAAAAGGGTCCAAGATAAGGGTGCCATGAAATCTTCCCTGTCATTTTAAAATCCAACGTCTCATTTTATGAAGTACAAGTCAGAGCAGGGTATAAGAGAAACTCTAAAATATCTTCTTTACACACACCTACTTCCAACATGATATTGAGTAAAATCCCCTTAAAAGAAAAGGAGCTTTCTGCTTGTATTCAGAAACATAAAAGAGATGGAAACTAAGAAAAGAAAATCAAGAAATAAAGTTGGTAGTGATATTTTTTTTTTAACTTTTTATTTTTTCTTTAAATATTTATTTATTTATTTCGCTGCACCGGGTCTTAGCTGGTGGCACGTGGGATCTTCGTTGCGGCATGTGGGGTTTGGTTCCCTGACCAGGGATTGAACCCAGGTCCCCTGCACTGGGAGTGCAGAGTCTTAACCACTGGACCACCAGGGAAGTTCCAGTAGTGATATTTTTAATAACATCAAGTAATGGTAGTCATACATTAAAAGGGGACACATTTGTATTGCGTATTTTAAAAAGTATATCTCGTTACTGCTCAAAATTTAAACATAAATACTGAAATATGTCTAAATTATGCTTCTGTGTGAAATACAGATGATGTTTCAGACAAAAATAAGTTTACTTTTATTTTCTTATGGTAAACCTTACCAATGCAAGAAGAGTTTTTTCTAACTTTAATCCCATCTCTATTCTGAATGGGAAGAATCCCATTAAGCTGGTGACTTCATGGAGAGTATAGAATTCTGGATACTTTTTCACTTGTTCAATACAAGCTTTTAAAATTTGCTAAAAAATAAAAATTAAGAGAAATTCATTTTTTTGTACTTCTCTAATAATGCAACAAAAATAACTTAGTCACATGTGACTACATAATTATTCATTTCAAATATGAGCCTCATTTCATTAACCGAACTTCTAACAATCCAGGCACACTGTATATTCCTTACTTGATTTAAACTCTTATTTTTCGTAACAATTCTTTTTAACCTAATTTCTTAAAACATTGATGTTTAATAATACTAAAATTAGCAATTGTATTAAAATTTAAAGTTAGAGAAGACACATCATATTTTCTCTGCTATTTAAGAAACTGTCAAAGAAATAAAGCCACGTGAAAATTTTAACACACTTTATGGGAATAAAAGCGGTTACACGAATGATTAGAAATAAGTAAGTTTAGTACCCTAAAAAGATCCCCAAGCACAATGAATTAATGAAGTAGTTATCTTACAGGTCATTCTAACCTTCAATCTAAAAAATAAATGAGAAATTTTATAACTACTTCAAATGATGGAGTATTTAGTATTTTCTTCTCTCCAAAATGTTCTCAAAATATTAATGACTTATCAGGAAATGTAATGAGGAAGAAAAATTCACAGTTTCACCCAAGCATGTGATAACATGTAAATAACTCAAAGAAGCACAGCAGTTTTGGAGGGGGTAGGGGAGTTATAAAACCATACATACTACATTATCTTCTAAGATACAGTTGTCCCTCGCATCTCTGGAATCCCCCATGGATACCAAAATCCAAGGGTGCTCAAATCCCTTATTTGAAATGGTATAGTACCGTCAGCCCACCATATCCACTGATGTAGAACCCACGGATATGGAGGGCCCAATGTATGTGTTTTCTCTTCTTCTCTCAATGAACCTTAATCTGAACCTTTTAGAATATAGTTTATATCACAAAAGCTTTTAGCAATAAGCATATATATATACACACACATATATATATATATATATATATTTATTTTTTTTTTTTTTTTGTACGTGGGCCTCTCGCTGTTGTGGCCTCTCCCGTTGCGGAGCACAGGCTCTGGACGCGCAGGCTCAGCGGCCATGGCTCACGGGCCCAGCCGCTCCGCGGCATGTGGGATCTTCCTGGACCAGGGCACAAACCCATGACCCCTGCATTGGCAGGCGGACTCTCAACCACTGCGCCACCAGGGAAGCCCCAATAAGTATATTTTTATATCTTACACCCTCTTTCCCTTCAGATATTTATAAAGTGTGTCAAGCTACAAATCAATAACATTACTCCAGTACATCTTTTTATCTATAGTTTCATATCCTCTTCTTTCTTTAATCTTCACTCTCTATTATCTTTCACATTTCCCCCCTCAATTCTACGCTTTTCAATAATGACCTTGATATTTAATCAGGATATTACTTGCAATTAAGGCAGATATAGGTTAATATGAAGAAGTTCTGTTTGCTCTTAAAAACCCTAGTAAACCGCAAACTCGGATCTGCATAATATCTTTGCTCCTCATTTATAATATTAGTCAACTTTCACCCCTAATATTCCTATCCTATAGAAGTCATTACAAAAATCTAAACATGCAAAGGAAAGCAATATATAAGAACTATGTGACATATAGACTACTCTGATTAGGTATTTATCAGCACATCTTTCTTGGTAAAACTATGCTAGATGTTACAGTGCTTTTTAAGTGAGTTTCACTTAACTCAGTAATTATGGCAAGAGAAAAATTCAAGGGAAAATCTAAGACAGCTTTATACCTATACTCAGATACACTACATAGTATTAAAGGTATTTCACAACTGGTAGATATTAAGTAACTAAAGGATCATTATTTAATATATTTAATTAAAAATTTTAATTAGTAATTTACTTATGTTTGAAAAACTGCTAAGAGTGAACAAAGGAGGTTAAAAGATTCAGGCTGTTCCCCATCATCACCCACTCCTGAATGTTATTTAACATTCAAAGTATCTTGAAAGTTAAAAACACCAAAAACACATTTATCATTTACAAAGAAAGATGAAAATAACTATGCTCCAGAAAGAGAAAATATAATATGTTTTCATACATGTTTGAAGCTTAAAATTTAACAAATACTGCTTCTGGCAATATGGTAAAGTAGGTACTTTGAAGAACACTCCTATCCAAACCACACTAGATGCTGGATAAATTACAACTAACAATTTTCATGCATTGCTGGGCTTGGTAAAAGCGAGGAGAATCTCCAAGGACCATAAATAAATAAATAAACGCCAAACATCTAGAATGAGGAGAAACAGGAGCTGTGAGCAGTAAGAAAACCCATGAAAGGTGAAGTGGTTTGAGGGCAAATGCCTCAACCAGTTCTAAGATCAGGTAGGGAGCTGAACAGGAAAGCCCTACATTTAAGGCTTGAAAAGCAGAGATTTGAACAGATATCTGTACAACCATGTTCACAGTAGCATTATTCACAACAGCCAAAAGGTGGAAGCAAACCAAATGTCCATCAATGGAAGAATGGATAAACAAAATGTCCATATACATACAATGGAATATTCAGCCTTAAAAAGTAAGGAAATTATGCCACATGCTAGAACATGTATGAATCTTGAAGACATTATGCTAAGTAAAATAAGCGAGTCACAAAAAGACAAATACTATATGATTCCACTTATATGGGGGTACCTACAATAGACAAATTCAGACACAGAAAGAAGCATGGTGAGTGGCACAACAATAAATAAATATTTCCTGTTTGTCCCTGGTTCCTGACACACAGCTCCTAAAATTCTTGGAATCCCCTAAGTGATAAGAATGTCTTTTTTATGCTAATTAGATGACAAAAGGCCCATAGATAGCTAATCACCAGCAGCCAATGATTTAATCAAGCATGCCCACTAAATGAAATCTCCATAAAACTCCCCTTAAGGGCTTCCCTGGTGGCGCAGTGGTTGAGAGTCCGCCTGCCGATGCAGGGGACACAGGGGACACGGGTTCGCGCCCCAGTCCGGGAAGATCTCACATGCCGCAGAGCGGCTGGGCCCGTGAGCCATGGCCGCTGAGCCTGCGCGTCCGGAGCCTGTGTTCCGCAACGGGAGAGGCCACAGCAGTGAGAGGTCCGCGTACCGAAAAAAAAAAAAGGTTAAGGGGCTTCCCTTGTGGTGCAGTGGTTAAGAATCCACCTGCCAATGCAGGGGACACAGGTTTGATCCCTGGTCCAGTAAGTTCCTCATGCCACGGAACAACTAAGCCTGTACACCACAACTACTGAGCCTGTGTTCTAAAGCCTGTGAGCCACAACTACTGAAGCCCACGTGCCTAGAGCCCGTGGTCTGCAAAAAGAGAAGCCATCACAATGAGAAGCCCGCACACCACAACAAAGAGTAGCCCCCGCTAGCCGCAACTAGAGAAAGCCCATGCGCAGCAATAAAGACCCAATGCAGCCATAAATAAATAAATAATAAATAAGTAAATAAAATCTATTAAGAAAATAATAAAGATGGTTAAGACAGTAAATTTTATGTTATGTGTATATTACCATAATTAAAAATTGTTTTTAAAAAAGGGAAGAATATTGACACATGCTATAACATGGGTGAATCTTGAAGACATTATGCTAAGTAAAATAAGCCAATCACAAAAGGACAAATATTGAAATGACTCCACTTATATAAAGTACCTAGTGAAGTTAAATTCATAGAAATAAAAAATAGAATGGTGGTTGTCAGGGACTGGGGGGAAGAGGGAATGATGAGTTATTATTTAATGAATACAGAGTTTCAGTTTGGGACAATGGAAAAGTTTGGGAATGGATGATGAAAATCCACTTACAACAGTGCGCAAGTATTTAATGCCATTGAACTATACTTAAAAATGGTTAAAATGGTAAATTTTATGTTATATATATTTTACCACACCAAAAAAAGAGAGGGGCCTCCCTGGTGGCGCAGTGGTTGAGAGTCTGCCTGCCGATGCAGGGGACACAGGTTCGTGCCCCCATCTGGGAAGATCCCACATGCTGCAGAGTGACTAGGCCCGTGAGCCATGGCCACTGAGCCTGCGCGTCTGGAGCCTGTGCTCCGCAACAGGAGAGGCCGCAACAGTGAGAGGCCCGCATGCCGCAAAAAAACAAAAAAAAAAAAAAAAGAGAAATGGAAGACAGACTGAAACCTAGGACGTTTGGGAATTCCAGAGAGAGAGTTGTGAAAACAAAAAAGAAGCAATAATTGAAAATGGCTGAGAATTTTCAAGAACTGATGATGGATTTGAATCTACAGATACAAGACACACAATGAAACAAGTAGAATTTTATTCTAATAAAGTACATTGTAATGAAACTGTAATACACCAAAAATTAAGAGCGGTCAGAAAGAAAAGGCAGATTCCCTAAAAGAAATGACAATTAAACAAACAATACACTTTTCAATAATAATACGTGAGCCAGAAAAAGTAGAATTATATTATCAAACGCTGAGAAATAAAACAAACTGTCGACTTAGAACTATGTATGGAGCAAAACTATCTTATTAGAATGAGAACAAAATAAAAATATTTCCAGGTAACAAAGAAGAAGATTGTTCATTACCAAGAGACCTTCACCAAAGGAACATCTAGAACATATAACATTTCAGGAAAAATGAAGAGGATTTCAGAATGTAGATTTGAAAAGAGGAGATGGAAAGGCAAAAAAGATCCAAATTTGTAGATAAATGAAGACAAACATTGTTCATATAAAATAATAATGTACCTAGGTTTTTTTACCTTTAAAAACCTAGGTTTTTAAACCTACCTAGGTTTAAAAAAGAGACAGCATCAAAACAATAATATCAGTGAGGAGGGATGTGATGAAAGTCAAAATGCTCCATGGTCTCTGTAGATGTATAGGTTAATAGAACTAAATAGAGTTGAGAAATTTACCCATAGGTCAATGGTGACAAGGTAATTCAATAAGGAAAAAATTCATTGTGAAAATTCAAGAGTAACCACTGAGAACAACAACAACATCAAAAATGTATAAATTCCAATCAGTAGAGAGGGA